CGACCGATTATCATTTCAACGTTCGTGAAATAAATTCGCTCGCCCATTTTGCATTCGTAACAATTGATTTCGTGATCCCCCCGTGATGGGAAGGTATTAAATCATATTCGAAAATAATAAAAATTCCGCTTCGTCAATTTCATATTTTTTTTCCATAAAGAAACGTTTCCATTGAAATTTTTTTTTTTTTTTTTTTTTTTATTCGAAAGAATTCGAATTTATCGGGAAATTACAATGACTGGTGGTGTCATAAATGTCATAAACTGATGGAACAATGGCTAAGTAACATCGAAGAATGGAAGAGTTATATTATTACGAGTTTTAATTTTAAATTAAGAGGACGTGTAAGATGATTATTTTTATTTTAAAACTTTTTACAAGAACGCGCAAGCTTACGTAACTTAATGATCAATCGTCTTGTTTCTTTTCAATACATATTAATTCGTTCGAAAAATAAATTTATTCTAATGATGGAATAAAGATATGATAAAAAGTGCATGAAATAATATTATCTTAAATAATTAACTATACATTAAAAAAAAAAATAGACGATTGATAATTTTGTATAAAATATAATATCGTATAAAATATAAACAATTTTTATCTTTTTGTTGTGTAAAATTTTTTAAAACTCGTGAATTTAGGATCTTAAACGGTTTCTTTTCAACCATTTCCATATGAGTCAACGTCGTTAACTATTAACTCGTTATCGACGTCAAGTGACACGTAATCGCGGAAATGTTCATTTAATAAATTAACCAATGTTTTCATACTCGATTTTTATTTTTTTTTTTCTTTTCCCCACGATAGTTTATTTCTAGTACTTGGAATAATTAACAATCCGCGACACGTAAATGCGCCGCCCACGGGGTTGGTTGCAACCCTAACTTCTTCGTGTCGAAAGGTTACACTTAAATAAATCGAGCACGTGCTCGAGGAAGATTCTATGTTTGAAAAGTTCACGTCATGGTGGAATTTACAGGAAGTGGAAGAGTTGTGTTGGATGTTTGTACACGTTTGCCCTTTCTTTTCAATTCTTCCTGCGTTAGATTATACTGCAATGACACATAATCCATCTTAGGATCGATGAAGTATGATTTCCATGGAAAAATAACAAATTTGAAGATACATTTGAACTTTTTCTAATCGTTTCTCCGTCAATAATAATTATATTCGATGGAAGAATAATAAAATTTCAGAAGATTCATGAATATTGAATATTTGATTTTTTTTTTTTTTTCTAATCATTTCTGCGTTAAATGATGCTCGGATAATCCTATAATTCATCGTGCAATGGATCGTATTCGAAGGAAGAACAACAAATTTGAAGATTCACGATGAATATTCATATCCATTTCGATTTTTTTTCTAATCATTTCTGCTCCAACAAATGATGTCACGATGATCTTGTAATCAAATCAATCAAGAAGAAGAATCGTTGAGATTCATTTTGATATTTATATCCGTTTGAATTTTTTCTAATAATTTTACAATCCATGTTGAATCGATAAAATGGGAGAATAATAAATTTGAAGATTCATGGATATCTATTTGTCTTTCTAATCATATTTCTATTATACTTTGCTATATCACCGGTGTAATTCAATGGATATTCGATGGAAAAGTAACAGATTTGAAGATTGAAAGATTTGGTTATGCACCGTGAATCGGAAACTCGAGAAGATTTTATTCAATCTCGATAGAACAAAGAGAGAATAAAGCGAACGATCTTATTGGGACAAAGAATCGTAGAATTAAGGAATCAAGCATGAATTTTAATAGGAATCTTCGAGAAATCGACATGTCTTATTTGATTGCAAGATAATTTTATCGTACATTTAAAAAATTTTGATATCTTATCTAACAAATATCAGTAAATAACGTCGTACAGTAAATAACGTCAGCCAAATATTTGCTGATTCAGGTAAGAAAATAGAACTACAATTACTAATTGTAGAATGAAATCTATAAATTATAAAGTTTCGTATCAAAAGCGATCTTTGTTCAATTTCTATTATATGCGCTTCATAATTTGATTATATGAAAATAAACTACTTGTATTTAGAATTTCTTATATGTTCATATATAATATATAATAAGACGATAAAAAGATTTAAAAAATTAAAGACAATAAAACATCTTTTTGTCTGAAGATTCTTTTTCGTTATGAATCCTTGTATCAATAAATTAGCAAAGTTCAATTACTTTTGAAATATAATAATTATATCGAATATTCATAAATTTTAACAAAATTTTTTAATTGTGCATTTAAATTCATACGCATTTCCATTCTCACTAAATCTAAATATCTCGACTCGAACAATTAGAACGATACTACAAATATAAACAAATCCCACGTTATTTTTAGCAATCAAAAAAAAAAAAAAAAAAAAGCGTCATTCCAATTCGATCTATCCTTTTATCCTTAAATCCCATCCCATTCCATCCCAATCTCATCCATCGTTCAAAAATTATAATTCTCGAAATTCGAAACCGTTCCACGTGACGCTGGAAGCGTGCACATCTCAAAAAATTCATCTCTCTCTCGAGGAGGAGGAGGAGGAGAAGGAGGAAATAAAAAGAAAGAAGAAAGCCTCGAAACGACGAAGAAGACGACTGAATATCTCTGGAGGCTCTACTCTCCTCCAACTCTGGAGGAGAGGAGAGCCGAGCCTCCACACGTGTCTGCCCTTCCTGCGTTCACACACGCTTCCCCGTAGTAGTCGCGGCCACGTAGCCACGATCCCCAATTCGCTCGTTCCATCGGTGCTCCTCACTCGTCCGCGTGTCCGTGTACACGGGCACAGGCGGAATCTGTCGGAGGGCGCATGTCTGACCGACGACGAACGCTTGGAGAACGCGCGAGCAAGAGGGTTGCACGAGGGTTAGAGGGAGACGGGAACCCCCGCCGTTAACCCCCACCCGTTGCCACCCGTCGGCATCCGCCACCGCCGAGCCCTGGTCACTAGTCCGACCAGTCTACCCTGTCACGCCACGTTACGCGTACACGTCGCTCGTCTCGTTCTTCGTTTTTTAAAAATATCCTCCTCCCCTCCTCCCCCTCCCCCTCGCCGTTTCGACCGTTCTCTTCCCCCTTCTCTCGGCCAGAGAGAGAGAAACAGAGAGAGAGAGAGAGAGAGAGATAACTTCGCAACCGGTTCGAAAAAAAAAAACGAACGAAATAATATCGGCTCGACGATATCGGCCTCCTTTTCCTCGAGAGAGAGAGAGAGAGAGAGAGAGAGAGAGAGAGAGCGGAGAGCGAGACACGTTGGAGCCGCGGGCAGCGTGACCGCGTGCACGCTTCTCCTCTCGGCCCGCAACCGGATTCGACATCGTTGGATGAGTTCGAAATATCGAGTTGGAAATACACCGCCTTCTTCTGGATCTTCTTCGATGTTTACGCGGTTGTATACGAAGAGATCGAGCAATTCGAGGAGAGAGATGTTTCGAAACTGTTTATTTTTTATGAACTAATTTATGTGGAAACGGGAGGATCGTTGAACCCCCCCGACGGAGGAGTATTCACCTTTTTTTTTTTTCCTCTCTCTCTCTCTCATTTCTGATACGTTCAGACTACGTATAGAAGAAAAGAGACGCGTCTTTCTCGAATTCGTTGAACGACGCGCGGCGAGATGGCGAAAAAATCTTGGCAGCCGGTGAAACGGAGATAACTGAACATCCAGTGATTGCCAGTAAGAGTAAAATCCAATCGGCAAGATCGCCGCAACGTCACCGAGAAATTAAGTTTTACCGGGGCTGGAAAGCCTACCGATCGATGCTGCCAGTCACTCGAGAGGAGTGTGTCTCGACGAGCGAGGGAGAGAGGCAGTGATAAAGCGAGGCACCCGTTCTCACGAAGCTGTTTGACGACCTCACGTGCGTCGGGGTTCGCCGGGGTCGTCCACGGTTCCTGACGCGGACGGTGACGCGTGACCTTCGACTACGGTTCACGCGTCGGTGGTGATCGTCGGTCCAACAACCCTGGAACGCTCTCTCTCCGCGGGGGAGATCGAGAAGATCGGGCCCGAGATCCCCGTGAAATTTTAATCCGAAGTTTCTCGCGACGAACTCGATCGAGATGTCCGATTTCTTCGCCGTGACGTTGTTACGTCTCTTCGGTATGTGTTTAGTTGAGATGATTTGAGAAAAGGTGGTGAGAAGAGAGGTTTAACAGTGAGAAAATTATTGGCAAGTATCGCTTTGTTACGGGAAAAGTACGAATGGAACGATATTCTTTCACGTCTCTGAGCAAAAAACTGTCTGTTCGAAACGCGGAATGCTTGAAAAGTTTGGTCGAGATTGAATAACGAGACGAGAGTTTGAAACTGTTTAAGTGCGAAACTGGTGGGAAAGAAAGTAAGAAGAGAGGAAACTTTCTTCGCGTTTCCACGTGTTTAAGCTTCTAAGGGCGGGGATGGTTTAGCTTAGGATGACAAAGTGAGCTCGGCGATTAAGGGGAACAACCTTGAATAAAGTTCATTTTACCCTCACGTGGGTGGTTTAATTTGAGATAATATGATCGGCGGAAGCGGTGATGAGGAAATTCCGTTGTCCAGGGAAAGGAGCTTGAATTGCAAATGCTGATGGATCGAGGACACCGTCTATCCACGTGGCGTCGGATCTGTTCCGGATCGGAATGTAATTTTATCAAGTAGATCCATGCCATCGTCGAACGAGGTTCAGGCAAAACATCTTTCGACTGCGTCGAGTTCTCGAATACCATTCGCGCTAATTAATCGAACGTTGAGTGAACATTTAAACGACTTATCATCCAAACAATTTTCTTTTCCTTTTTCTTCTTCTTTTTTTTCTTTTTTTTTTTTTGACGGAACATTTGACGACACTTGGAAGCCAAGCGGAATAATTTGAACGGAACTTTCTGCATCGACGTTTTTAAAAATAGAATCCTTATCGATTATCAAGTCGAGTTACGACGAAAAAAAAAGGGAATCGACACCGTGGATTATTAAAACGAGTCTTTAATTGCCAAAAAAGAAAAACGAGATAGACAATCGTCTCTCCCTTATTAATTGTACATCGCACGATTACACAATTTGTTATTCTCAAGAATCTCCTCGGGAGCAGTAGACAATCAAGAAAACGTATAATCCTTCACACCGGCGGATTCAACATCGAAGTTGAACAATCTCTCGATCGTAGACGTATTAAACTAAAAAAAAAAAAAAGAAAAAACACGAGAAGAATTCAGCCAAGTCGAAGAAGGCGCGAACACAGCCGAGCACGAACACGTCGAGGTGACTTATGATGGGCTGCAGACCGGCAGCTAAGTCGAAGGTGGTGGAAGGGTGCGGTCGCGGGCAGCTCGAGGCGGCTTTCGCGTCGCCGAGGTGTAACGAGGTGACGATCATCGAGCTTCCCACCGAGATCGTTCAGAAGCGAGAGGATCGTTCAGGTCCGAGCGGCGCAGCCGGGGCGGAGGAGGAAGAGGAGGAAGAGGAGGTTGGCAAGGAGCGTGATTATAGCTCAGATTGGGCGAGGTCGAGGCTCGAGTCGAGTTTCAACAGATAGCTGCCTGCCAAGTGAGGATGCAGAGGCTGCGCTCGACCTTCAAGAGGTCGCGCACCCCGACGGGAGCGGAAATGAAGTCGCAGTCGAGCCTCGAGGTGCCGAAGCAGGTGAGGTCTGCCTCCTTCGACGAGATCCAATTGGAGGCTAAGCGGCACGACGACGGGAGGGACGCCAGGTCGACCAGGACCACGTCCTCCTCTTCTTCCTCCTGCTCACCCGCCAGGTCCCAAGACTCGTCCAGGGGTAGGCGATCCGCGACCCTAAGAGTGCCCCAACTGCAGAGCGGCCAACGATCCAAAAGCTTCGACGTGAGCGAGAGAAGTTATGGATCCTCCTCCAGCCAACAATCGTCCCTGGGAAGGGACGTTCGCCGCCCCGAGACGCCCACTATTCAAGTCTCGGGCTGTTACCACTGTGCCTGCGTGGAGGAGTACAAGAGTCTTAACCTGAGCAGGGATGAGGACGATCCTTCGTCGAGGGAGGAGCTCGACGACGAGGTGGACGAGGGCGACGACACCTCGGGCGAGGACGACGAGGACTCCGAGTTGGTGGACAGGAGCGAGGGTAGCCCTGAGATCAGGGTCACTTTGGCCACGTTCACCGATAAGGAGCAGCCCGGTGATCCGGTGATCGAAACGACACCGCCGCCATCGCCCACCGTGGTCCCGGAGATCGTTCCCGAGATGGTGCAAGAGGACACGTCGGATATCAAAGGCGGTCTATTTCCGTCTAGAGAACGAAGAAGGTCGATCTCCTCGCCTAAACTGGCCCGACAAGAGGCTCTTACCTCGTACCCTGTCGAGCTGCCTACCGTGGTCAGCTCGACGGAGGACGAAGAGAGGGCGGAAGAGGAGGAGGATGAGGAGGAGTTGGGCCACGTCGGATCGGGCAAATGCAAGTTCGTCGTCAGAGATATCTTTCTCACCGTTCCTGAGCTGAAAAGGGATAGGGCCGCGTCCGTCGACTCCTGCTTCAACAATAAAAATGGGCACAGCGAGGACACCGACACGTTGACTGTCCCTCAACAAAGTATACGGTCGAAGAGCGTCGATATCGTTCTGCCTACCGAGGCGCAGACGAGATACACGGCATTGCTGCCCGGCACCGAGGCTCGACCTCCAAGAGGGTGGGTACGTCTGGTGAATGGAACAAGATTCCTTGTTCCCAATACTTTCAATTTTCTGAATGTTCCTTCCATTTCAATTCCTGCTCGTATTCTGTATCATGTTCTGTATCCTTTTTATTTCTCTCTCTTTTTTCTTCGTATATATGTTGTTTATTGTTCGTGCTTCTTGTTCCAGCCCTCTTATGTATGTATGTATGTCTGTGTGTTTAATTGTTTTTCGTTGATTCGGTTGGATGATGCTGCAATCATTGAAACTTTAATACGAGAACGATCCAATACGTTTCGTCGAATGGCATCGAATGTATTTGTAACTTTGTAATAGCGATTGTTGTTGTTTTCAAGCTTTGAGGAAAGGAATGACCCTCTCTAACGAGCCTGTATTAATTACTTCGATGAGATGAGATCAATTTGCACGCGTTTGCTTGAACGTGTTGTGATTAATTGTAACCCATCCCGGTGATAAAAATACTTCTTCGTATGATATGATAATCGTTTTCAATTCTAAAAAAAGAAGAAAATAATCACTTTCGCCCGCGCATTATTTTTTATTATGGCCAATTTGCCAACAACTTTCAATCCTTGAACACACTCCACACGATTATTCGCCGGCAAAGTTGGAGAAGAAACGTGGGATTACGAGAACAATTTCCAAGCCACTTTTAAGGGCCGTTTCACTGGGCTCATAGTTACATCATTTAAAGTTTTATTTTCTTTTCGAAAGTTTTATTGAATTTAGCGATAACGGGAGAAATAAATCTTGATAGAACGCCGCGTTTGTGGAAACAAGGCTAGGCTATTTTTATGCTACTTACGAAAATATAGAAATAAAAGGAAGTAATGGAAGCGTGGAACGAAAGAATTGGTTCATAAAATTCTTTCGTTTCCGCAGCTTTCCCTCGTGCAGTTTACGCGCACGGTTCAATCGAAGGCAATTTAATTTTACCGCTGCCACGTTTACGAGTCCGATATCGGCGTCTTTTGTTGCTCTTCGAGCTAGCATTTTCTATTTCGGGAAGATTAAGACGTCAACGATTCGAGGGAGAGAGAAGTTGATTAGAACTCCAACGCGTTTAATTGAACTGTACAGACGTATAGCTCTCATTGTGGCCGCTGTAACTCGATAGATTGTTGAGCTTCTGAGATCGAAGTTGAAGTCTTTTGGAACCCGTTCGAAAATGGATAACGAGATTTTTAGTAGATTATCGTACAAATGCAAGTGGCATATACGTGAAAAAATTAAACGGATCGAATAATTTACATTGAATCGAACGATTTAAATATCGCGAATAATAATATTTTTAGCGAATTATGTTTATATTTGAGTAGCGTTGTCGTGATATTGTTTAATTCACTTTAATCTTTTTTTTTAAAATTGCACACGATATTGTCGATACTAATCGATAATTTTGACGCTGTGTTATTTTCGTTTGTGAATTTAACCGTTCCCGCATTCGATTATTATTTCCAATTAAATTAAGCGTTCTTTGAAATTTCTTTGTCGCTCAAAATTTTCTTATATTCGAAGATAATACGAAAGAATTATTATTAACATTAGATATATCGAGATTATTATATATCTGTTTCTATCAATTGTATATGTGATTAAATCGGGCCATATATGTGTTTCTCGTTAAAAACAAGAAGAAGAATAAAAATTGAAAAATTGATTTTATTGCTATAAATGCAATAATAATAATAATAATAATAATATAGAAGAATATAACAATGAAAAATTTTTGAAACTGGTTATTTCAATAGGAATAATATATTTAGTGTGTTACACACAATTAATATTATGAAAAGAAGAAAAATAAATTGAAAATTGATTTTCTAATATTCAATTAATATTTTATTGGCTTCTTTCATAATTTTTTACATCTTAAATCATATTATATAACTGTTCATCTGATTGTTTCTAGAATTAAACACCGACTTTCACGATAGATCAATTACTTTTTTTAATATTTCAATGACGTCGTTATTATAATAAGCAAGAAAGATGAAATTTTTACCGATTATCTTACCATCTTTTTGTTTCGTTAGCACGCAATGTCCACTCTCTCTTTGCAAAAAGTACATTCAAATTTATTTTTAGGCAGAGTGGTGAGAAACGCGGAAAATCAATCGTATCTCAATGTAAATTCTTTCTTACAGAGATGTATCATAAGATTTTATTTGCAAATTTCAAATATTTGATACTCCAATTTTTTGTGATTCGATTTTCTTCGATTCTTCGATTATTGAAATACGGATATTTATGCGAGTTCATGATTTTTCATGAATATTATTAAAGAAAAGGGATATAAACAGAGATTTGCCTTTATTAGAATATCTATTGTTCTTTGTATAAATTATGACATTTATCGAATATTTTTATTTCCCAATCGAAATTTTTCACATCGAATAGTAAATTATTTATTGCATAATTTTTGACCAAAAAATTAGAATCATTCATAATTTTCAATATTTTTGGTGCTTTTAGTAAAATTTAATAATTCGAACGATATTTAATAACAACTTTATTAACTATAATTTTTAATTGATAATTTATTTTCCCTTTACTTTGATTAACACTGTACTGTTATTTTTTATTTTTGGATGATTTTTCACAAATATTCAGTTTTTTTTTGAATTAATAATTTCCAAATATTTTCAACTGGTATAATACATTTTTAATTGCCTGGTATAATGTATCATAATATACAAACTATTAATATTTGTGAAATATATTAACAGTTAATAAAATTTGCAATTTAAATTTTTTTGATCTCTAAATTTTATTAAAAATGTTGCAAATTAATTTTTTGTTCAAATTATTTAATAAAAATTGTATTAATATTAAGAATTAAAATATCGCATTGTGTCGAGGTTATAAATACATATAAAAAAAAAGAATTTAACTTTTCGAATTTCCAATTTTGCAGTGTTACTTATCTTTTAAATCGATCTAGATATTTAAAGAATAATCGAAACTTAACTTAAAATCGTTGATTTTCTCAAAGAGAATCGAGGATTGTATCTCATAAAACTATTGCTATCGTGTCGAAAAACGCGATATGGAAATTACGTATAGTCGTAATTTGGGCAAAGTGGTGTTGTTTATGGATCGATCACGTTTTTGGGATCACGTTTTTCCCCAATATCCTCCTTTTTTTCCTCTCATTCATCTTTCGCCCTCGTTACTCAATCCGTTTTCGCAACAAGAATATTAATTAAATTTTACGATTCAACAACGATGGATATCGTTGGCCAATTTTACGAACCATTGAATACATCTGACCTATCTCTTTCGCATAAAATGTACGTATTTTTTTTTTTTTTTTTTTTAAATAGAACAACAATTTTATGCGTATTGCAAAACTTTTTGTTCGTAAACGTAAACGTAATAAAAATCATCGAGATAATATTTCACGTCTCGTAAACTCATTTAAAATGAATAATTATACAGTTTAATCTGATTTTTTGAGATTTGAGAATGAAAATAAAGTTGGATAATTATTATCGCTATTCTTATCAAGCATCCATATTCCCTTGGTACATTTACTCACAACTATAAATCCCTTAACCCCTTCATTATGCACGATTTAAATACATAAATAGACGACCTCTTTGCATTGTTGCGAAAAATCATTGTTAGACCTTGTTATTTCAATGCTATAATAGAGATATTAGTGAAAGTATTATGTTTCTTTTTAAAATAGTTCTTTTTGAAACTTTGTTAAATTGCATATAGCGACTCTTTTTTTTTTATGATAAAGCAGTAATAAAAATAGATATATTATAATTTTTTTCTTCTTTAATTTTTAAAATTTATAAATTTTAATCAATTAAATGAAGATAGAAATGTACAGATAATATATAATCACAAAAATTTTCACATTATTTATCTTACAAGGAAATCATATTTTTTATAAGAAAATTCTATTCTATTTCGAATAATCTGATTTCAATGAAAATATATATATATATATGGTGAATAATGGATCATAGATAGAGTAATTTATTTTTTGATGCAAAAAACTTCTTTCAATAGGAGAAATCAATCCTCGAATTTTTATCATTTGTTCATGTTTCACGTGCAATTTAGTTTGGAAATATTTTTTATAATAAAATAATAGAATATTAAAAAACATGAATATTTTATAGTTCAAAATTTTATCCTATTTCATATATATTACAAAGTTATAAAAAATATTTAAAAAAAAATGAAAATAAAAATTGAAATTTTATACATTGATTTCAATTCTTCGAAGTGATGTTTCAATAATGAAAAAATTATTTCGTATAATATAATGTAATCAATTACGATTCGTATTTACAATATTTCATATAAAACAGAATTATTGTTCGTTTTGACAATTTCTTAATTAAATTCAAGATACAAATGAACATATCTCTGATTGGCTATTTATTAATTATTTGTAACAAAAACATATTCTTTTATGATTCTTTTTAAAAAATAATAAAAATAGTCAACAAGATCAAAAATTGCATCCTTTAATCTAATTGCATCAATTTCATAAATAACAATCATTTCTCTCTCGTCACAAGATTTTCCTAATTAGATAATAAATTTTTTCCCACCATTCCTGGAAATTAAATATAACGTACAAATTTATCTTAGTATGCAATTTTATTGATTTTTCTTATCAAACAATTTATTTCCACTCGTTAGATCTATTATTAACAAATTTTCAATGGCTCGATAAGAAGCGGATGATTCTTTCGTAGTTTAATCAATTTAATCAGAGTCAATCGTATCGGAAGTTATCCTCTCATCTTGTTTCTGGAAGCAGAGATTAAATTTCATCGAGCTTCCTTCCACGGAACTTTATCGTTTCACCGATTTTAATTCAAACGAGATAGCCAACTTTTCAAAAGTTGAAGGAACTATCTCTCGGGATCGAAAGTCGTATCGTATTGAGAGAAAAAGAGAGAGAGAGAAAGAGAGAGGGAAAGTGTTTCGTTGTATAGAAATTCGAGTAGATTTTTCACTATCA